TTAATTAATTAATTAATTAATTAATTAATTTTTCCACTTAATTAATTAATTAATTAATAAAAAAATTTACATCAAGAGAGAATTCAGCTGCCTTGGCGGAGGTCTGTGCTCTCCGAGTGCTCTAGTTACATATTAAACTGATATGTAACTGTTTGTGTGTGGCAGTGTGCGTGTTGGCAATTAGTAGACAAATATCTTGACCACAAAGATGTCAACAGAGGTGGCTTAGTTTATTATGTAGTTTGTGTGCATGATGCACACATGCCCAACACGCTGGACAGTACCCCAAAATGTGTCAACAGTATTTTTATGCAATAAGTTTACACCTATATGCATGCACAAATTGAAGAGAGATTTTAGCCATTGTTTCTTGTAGCCAACAGCATTATGTCACGTTCCCTAAAATCACATTTGGCAGCATGGTGGCTGGACACACTTCATTGTGTGCCTAGGTGTGAATTAAGTTATTCTGTAAAAATACTGCATATATCAGTTAATGCATTTTTACCCCACTATTTTACTATAATAGATTTTGCAATTTGTAGTTTGTGTGCATTATGTAACACACTACCCCAATAATCTTTATGACCTAGCATTGACGTATGCCCTAGACACAGGCACTTTTGCCCAATTTTAAAACCTATGTACATACATTTAACCACATTATTAGTAACTAGTAATGGTTTGTTTCAGGTGAAGTACTTGGTACTCTCTGTCAAGTAATTGGAGTTCAGGTGTACATGTCCTCAAAGGAATTTGTGCTGGAACTTGTGAAGTCCAATGTTGAAAGGCAGCCCTTATCGGATATGGAGGACGAAGTGGAGGAAGTGACAATTACGGACAGTGGAGAGAAGCCAGTGCGCCGTAGGGTAGGCATAGTACAGCTTACATTAATTTTCTGCCAGCTCGATTTAGAATGTGTGTGTGTGTGTGCGTGTGCGCGTGCGTGTGTGTGATATATAGCACAGATTATACATCGCACTATTTTTTATTATAAATGTAACTGTTATTTATAAGTACCTTGTGTCCGAATATTCTCAAAATTTTGTCTCATTTTCTGGCGCTAACTTTAATATACATGTATTGAATGAGAACATTCTTGTATCTGGTATACTATATGATATAGTAAGATTTGTATGTTAGCATTGCATAGTAATGTAAAGTAAGCAGGCAGTGGTACATTTTCTGCTTCTGACTAGTAACTAGTTCATAAGTGTAAAGGGCTTCTAGATAGGTGGATGCACACATAGACATGATTTTTGAACTGTTTGTTTTAGAGAAATAGTTCAGATGCAGCTAAGATATTTCACGATACAGCCGGTTGGAAGTCCTTGGAGACGAGTATGAAGTAAGTATTGCTGATGTGTTGGTAGCTCGCCTTGACATCGTCAAGATGAGTTATTGCCATGGGGTGCCGTCCCTCGTACGTCCGTTCATCAACATTTGGCTACGGTCAACGATAACTCAAGAACCGTTTGACCCACATGTTTCGAATTGCATGCAGTTGTTACTCCTATGGGAGAGGTTTCAACGTCTATCAGGGGTAGAAATTAACTTTTGAACACGGGAGTCCAACCGACTCCCTAACCTCAAAAAGAGGGAGTCCGCAGCAAAATGAGGGAGTCCGCAGTCTGCATGAGGTTCACAATTAAAGATATTAACAATAACGCATGTGCTTATTTTTAAGATTGATGCGGTTGCACGTCTGCTAAATTTTCTTTGGACATTAGCTGAAAAAATACGGTAATTCTGACAGAGTAAATTGAGACGGGGACAGGAAAACGGTGATACGGTGTGTATGCGAGCGGGAAACGGGGTACAATTAGGTCGTGCGAGATGGTGTGCAAGGGGATGGGAGGTGGGAGGTAAGGGGGTGGAAGCGAGAGGCAAGGGGAGTGAAGTGGGAGGCAGAGGGAGGGAGGTGGGACGCAGTGGGGAGGGAGGTGGGAGAGAAGGACTCCCCGCCCCTCTAATTAAACTTGGAGATCCATGCTCATATGTTGAAATCTTTTATAGATAGATAAAAATAGATAGCTGTGAATTTATGACACAAATTCGAAGTGAAAGGCAAGTATCATTTAATAAAATAAACCAAAATCGCATGGGGAGAATCGATAGTGAGCGTGTCCTAACAATTAATGATGTGTACGCAACTGCGTATCTGCATATCTGCGCCTAACAAATGTGTCACTACGCACGACTGAAATTGTACGTTCATAACCGTAGCAACAGACCCCAGATGAGCCCAGACGCTCTGCGGCTCTTGTTTGTATGTGAATGAATAAGGACTGGCCCCAAAACATACCACATGGGTTTTGATTTGTTTGTAATTATGCAAATTAGGTAGATTTTGACAATTTCACTATGTATTTTAGTGTCTGCCTACGGTCAACGATAACTTGAGAACCATTTTACCCACATGTTTCGAATTGCATACAGTTGTTACTCCTATGGGAGAGATGTGGACGTCCTATTTTGGAGCACGCAAGTTGACCTACTTTCGAGCCACGCTTGCTTTTTGGCCAAAATGGAAATGGCCATCTAAATTCATTCGTTTTTGTTCAATTTACCTACCTACCTACCTACATAATAGTAGCCTACCTACGTGTAATATTGTGTTTTAGATTCTTCGTTACAGTAATTTGACTGGAATATTTTATTGCTTTTATTTGAGCGATAATCGAAAACCAAAATGGCCATCATTTAGGCGTAGCGCCATCTCTTGCCTAGATTTCAGACTTTCAGATATGAAACATTTATTTTCGCATCAAAACTACCCTGAAACAAAACAGTGAAATTTCGATTAGTATAAAACAGGAAAAAAGGACATTTGATCACATTTTGGTCCGTCATAAATGAAACACTTGCCAAATTTTAAATGTTATCTCCCTCTTCTATCACACGCAAGGTGAGCTATAGTGTCATTGACACTTTCATTTATGAAATATGATGTATTGGCTACTTAATAAAGGCTGGCTTATTCATAACTGAAGCTTTAGGTAATAGAAAATTTCTCTGATTCTGAGAAGCCCTTTAACCACCTTTGCCGTCATTAAGTTCACCCACATTCAAGAAGCTGTGATTCTTCAATAAAAGTGCCTATTTACATGAAATTTTGGATTTAAACCATTTCATTATTTATCTTAATAAAAAAAATTCATGTCACTAGCTATCACTTCAGTTTTCAACTTTGGTGTATACACCAGCGAAAAAAATACACGGGAGCGGCGAGCGATTTCGCTCCCGTCAGCTTTCAAAGCGCTCTGGTAACAACAATTACGAGAGCGAAAATTTTGGAAGCTACGAGAAAAAATCGCTCCCGCGCCGCCGGCAGCGTTACGACCCGTTCCTCAACGTAGACAGCTAGGGTATCCAAAACATCTAGAGCTGCATAAACTCCCTCAACGCATGATTCGCCACACGAACAAAAACTCGCGACAGTCTAAGAAATCAATGTGTTTTTATAAGCGCGTAACAATAAGTCGCAGGGGTTATTGTGGGACATAATCGCAGGGGTTATTGTGGGAAGTTAGGGCACGACCAGTTACACCTGATACGCACGTAATCAAAGCTGTTTTCTGAATTCGTCACGTAGAAAGCAGACTGTTTTTATTCAGGTAGATATTTAGAAGAAATGTAAACTGTATATACTTGAAGATTCTAGGCACTTGTAACTTTGTGGATGTGCGGCAGCATTGATAGATCTATGCATGGGGGTACCGTGGACTGCATGGGGAAGAGAAAAACGAAAGTAAAACCTTACCCAGAAGCTCCCCCGACATTCCTAGAGATTGAAACATTATTTGACCAACTCTGATATAATTAA